TTCCGACAAGCCCCGCCCCTTCCGACAAGCCCCGCCCCTTCCGACAAAGCCCCCGCCCTCCCGCCAAGCCACGCCCAGGGTGGGGTCGGTGGGACCCGGGCACCAGAGCGAGACTGGCCCTCGTCGTTAAGGCGCTTCTACCTCCTTGCCTCAATTTCCTCATCACTGAAGTGGTGTTACAAGTCCTGCCTCTCCCATTGTCACACAGAGCATCTAGATCAACTCTTGATATCCAGAAGATGTTGAATGAATGAAAATTGTCCATGGTCCTATGCTTGGACACCTCCCCTGACAGGAAACTCATTACCTTTCCCGGACACTCATACTCTTTGGACAGTTCTACTTCTAGTTAAGAATTCTTCCTCCAGTTAAAGAGAAATCTGCATCTGAGGCCGACCGACAAGGTCTGAGCTCATGGGATGGCCAAGGCTTTTCCTTTACCCCTCTCTCAGGAGTCAGGCCATCATGGGTTCAAATCCCAGACCCTCCTCTGCCTTGTTATATGAACTTGGGCAAACAGCTTTGGTTTTCTGAGCCTCAAGGTCCTCGTCTGTAATATGGGGATCTTTTCCTAGCTGTCTGTGAGGGTTAATGATGATGCAGTTTTTGTCAAAATGCTTTTAATTTGTAGCCTCTATAAAAGACTTCTTCAGCCATAACAAAAGTTTAAAATACAAGGAATAAATTTTATGTAAGGAACATTTGACCCAAATAAAGGGTAGCCTTTCCCACCACCCAAATATTTACTACTACTAACATTTTGTTGTTCTTTCTAGTCTTTATTCTGTCTATAAAGAATTTTTAAACTTTCAATCTACAGCAAAGTTGCAAAAATTGTACCATGTTGCAACTGTCATTGATGTAGCTTCTGATTCCCTTTATGTTGCCAATTCACAGTACCATGATGCACTGTGAAAGCTAAGAAATCATCTTGGGACATTACCATAACTAAACTGAAGGCCTTGTTTGATCTTTTTTGTGTACTTTTTCTGCTTCAGAAACTTAGTCGTCATGGCTCCCGTCTCGTGTGTTCCTGTCTCCCACGGTTCTTCTGACTTTGATGATCCCCAGGACTGCTGGGCAGGTACTTCACAGAATGTCCCTTGGTAATGGTTCGTCTGATTTTTTTTTCCTCATAACTAAACCGGGGTTATGGATTTGAGGGGACATCCTGCAAAACTGAAGTATCCTCCTCATCACACAATGGGGGAGCAGGTCACGTCCGACCATCGCTGTTGATGTTGCCCTGGTTGCTTGTTAAGCTGGCTTGGCTGGGTTTCTCCACATTAAAGCTGCGGCTGTCCCTTTCCAGTCTCTTGCCTTTGGAAACAAGTGGCTGAAAGCAGCTCACCCTCGTGGGAACTCAGCTTCACCTCTAGGAGGAGGAGCATCTAATAAGTTATCTAGAATTCTCTAAGGAAGAGTCGTCTCTTCCTCCCCCATTTATTTATCCATTCGTCCACTTAATTATTTATTCAGGTCAGTATAGGCTTGTGTATTTATTTTAGACTTTGACTAATAATCTGAGGCTGCATTTTTTATTTTGTGGTACTAGTTTCCAGCTTTGGGAGTCCCTTCGGGGTGACTCCTGCACCCCTCCAACCTGTCTCCACTGTTTTGTTTTTTGGGGGTGTTTTCTTACTCTCTAATGCTACAAGATGCATCAGGCTCTTCTGGGCTGTTTCTGCCCCCACCATTTCTCCTGAGAGCTCTAATTCTTTACATTGAAGAATGGTGTCGAAAAAAACCCTGAATGGGAACTTTCAACAGAAAATTCCAAATCCTACATTTCTCTTTATCTCATGAGCATTTTCCCCTAGAAAATACAGTTGTTCTCTCATCCCAGAAGTGGATTGACCAAAATTAGTCAAACACATACTCCAACAGACATATCAAAACCATGTTATTGCTCTTATAATTTGTGTGTGTGTGCGTGTGTGTGTGTGTGTGTGTGTATTTAATTGTAGTTATATGCCAAGCATGGTGTACACCTGTAATCCTAGCTACTTGGAAAGCTGGAGCAGGAGGATCACAAGTTTTTGGTTTTTGGATTTTTAAAGTTTAAGTTTCTTCCTAAGTTAGTTTCTCTTTCTTTCTTTCTTTCTTTCTTTCTTTCTTTCTTTCTTTCTTTCTTTCGTTTCAGCATAACAGGGTCTCTCTATGTGCCTCATGCTGGCCTTGAACTCACTATGTAGTTCAGGCTGGCCTCAAACTTGTGGCAATCTTCCTGCCTCAGCCTCCCATGCACTGAGGGTACATGTACCACCATGCCTGGCCTAAGAGGATCACAGTTTTAAGCCCAGCCTGGGCAACATAGCAAGACTCTGTTTCAAGGAGAAGTAAAAAATCTTGGGCCAGGGATTTAGCTCAGTGATGCCGCCACCTGTTTTGCAAGCACAAGGTCCTGAGTTTGATCCCTGGTACAAAAAAGGAGGAGGAGGAGAAAGAAGAAGAAGGAGAAGGAGAAGGAGGAGGAAAGGAAGAGGAAGAGGAAGAAGAGGAGGAGGAGGAGGAGGAGGAGGAGGAGGAGAAAGATCTTTAGCTCAGTGCTGGAGTATTTGCCTAGCATGTGTAAGGCCCTGGATTCAATCTTAGCACCACATTAAAAAATAACAGTAGTAGTAATAATATGTAGTCATATATTTATTTGTGTGGCTGTTTGCTTTTTGTCTCTTCAGCAATTAGTTGGCTCCCAGCAGGCAGAGACCAGGGCACACTCATCTGGCCCCCAGTGTATCATAGGGCCCCCCACACAGTAGGTGCTTGATAAACCAGTGCTGCTAGTGACTGACTGAAAGAATGAGTGGAATTTCTGGGCAAGGAGGTGCTTGTTTTTACAGCCCTAAGAGCACATTTCAGCCCTGATGAAAGACGACTGAAGCCTCTCATAGACCCCATGAAATAAAGAAGGACAAGGACTTTGTCAAAAACCCATGGGAGGGACACAGAAGCATGCAGGTGGCCAGGGCCTGAGGGGCTGTTGAGCAAGGGTCATAGGTGGAGGGACATTTCCGGTGCCAGTGACACCAGCGGGTTGTGGGCCTCTGATCGTACGCCCCAGGCAGGCCCTGTATAGCCCCTGTTGCTCACTGCTCCCTACACAAGAGCAAGGCAGCGAGATGAGGAAACTGAACCACAGGAAAGAGAGGGGTTTGTGTAAGCCGTGCAAAGTGGCGATACGAGGACTGACGCCCAGCTCTGCCAGAGTTCTCCTGTAGGCCGGAGAAATGACAATTCATCATCTCTTTCCCATGTTTCAGCAGACTGTGGACGCCTCAGTGGATTTCTGCTGAGCCCGGAATGCTTTGCCTGGAATTGCAGTAGAGGATGCAGATAAAAGGATGGGCTTTGTGTCTCCACCACCTCTTTACTGCGTCGCCTTGGACCGGTTCCTCAACCTCTCTGAGCCACAGGAGCCGGGGGTGTTGGTGAAAATAGTAGTGTGACACTGACACACAGGAGCGTGCCAACTGTTCAGCATCTGTCATTGTACTATTTGCCAGGCGCTTCTGGCGCCTCTGCCGCCTCTCAGACACGATCTCATCGGCTGTGCTTCTCCTAACAGCACGCTTCCTGTTTTAGGAAATAAGACTGAGCGGGAGACTGTCTTTGCAGTTGCACAACACAGAAATGGAGAAACACAAAAGCTCACATACTCTGGAAACAATTGCTAAAGTGTATCAATTGTCTTTTGTCTCCTTTCTAGAAGTTTCCATAATGAGGTTTGAGCGCTTTTATATTAACAAAGACAGCATGAACAGCTCCACACCAAGGATGTCCGAGACCATGGTACAGATCTCTGGAGGGGCGCACCCCCCTCGTAGAGGTTCACTGGGGACTCTGTCCCTTTGTTCACTGTGCAGGCGGGCAAGCGTCCTCCTCCAGGGGGCGTGTCTAGTTGCTGGCCCCACCCCCCGGCGCACCCTCCTGGTTCTGCTCTGGGAAGGAAGAGGGCTGGGGCGTACAGGACCCTTCCCTGCCTGGGAGGAAGGTGCGAGCGGGGTAGAGAGGAGGAGAGGTGAGGCGAGGAGGAGAAGAGAGGTGTGGGGAGTTTGAGAAGCGACCCTATCTAGCCTCGGGACCATGGGGCCGATGTGGTGGTCTTTAGGCCCTGGTGAACAGAGGGAAAATCTGAAGGAAACCTCCAGACTTAACATGTTTCACCTGCTCTTAGTTACTTGCCTTTTACATTTAAATTTTTTTTCCCCATTTTTCATTTTGCATTGTTAGGGATGGAGCCCAGGGTGAACCACACCCCCAGCAGTTACTTGATTTGAAGCACCAACCTTGGAGGTATAGATAGCAGTCCCGAGGGTGGGCCACGGGGTAACAGCTGATGAAGTTTGATGGATCATGCACGCGCAGACCCCTGACTGTTCCTAACCTCCAACCCCCTTTCCCCATGCCTTGGCCCCTGAGAGGCCCCAAACCCTGTCTGGAGGCGGACTGAGACTTGCTCCCTCTCTCCACACTTGCCCGACTCACTTTGTAAATGAACTATTTTCTGTCATTGCAAAACTCATCTCTGCCGCGACTGGCAAGAATCGGGCCCGGTCAGTAACAAGGAGGGTTCCTCTCCAAGCCAGGAGCGGTGCGGTGCGCTGCTGAGAAGGGTGAGGCGGAGCTGCTCCGGCCTGGGGACCGCAGGCGGGGCAGAAGAACCCGGATGGAAACCTGTGACCTTGAGCCTGAGGAAGTGGGTTAGAGAGGGTTTTTTTGTTTTGTTTTGTTTTTCTTTCCTTCCCTTTTTTTTGCAGTGCCAGGAATCTAACCAGGGCTTCCTGAAGGCTATGCAAATGCTCCCCCCACACACTGTGAGGCCTTCTGCACCTGTCACTGCCTAACCGGGACTGAAAGGAAGGGATCCCAGCCTCAGAGCAGG